GAAAGCATAGAATAAGTATATCCGGAGGCTAAGCAGCCAGAATGATCCATGTCCACCACAGGGTTCCACCACCTACTACTACTGGCTGTGTGACTTGTCAAATGAGGAGGACAATCCCTGTCTCCAGGCAGCTGTGTGGATCCAGCGGGAACCTGAATAAGCCCCTCAGCCTGGGCCCTGCTCTCTGTGTAGGGATGTTCTTCCGAACTAACCCGCAGTGTGGATATTCCCGAGCATGTTCCAGCCTCCAGGTGTCCCTCTGCTAGGATCTGGGGGTGCATTCTGAGAGCGGACAGACCATTCTGACACCTCTTGTCTTTTGCAGCTTTGAGAGCCCTGAGATTCAGCCCCTGCTTGGGACATAGTAGCTATAGGGAGGGTCTTCCCAGGCAGTGAACTGAGAAAGAAGATTGCATGGGGGTCCTTGTGAGACACACCTCGGCACTCTGAAAAACAGCCCAGTGAAACTTCTACGGGGAAGTGCTGGAGGCCTGCTTCAGCAGGTGGGAGGCCCCAGTGACATCTGTTAATGTGGATTCATTTGTCCCTCTGGTGCTGGGCCTGAGCGAATTTGGGATGCACATACATCCTTTCACTGGATTCTTGTTATATCCTTTTGAGGTCAGCATAGCAAGTACTGTAGACTCTTTTTTTTTTTTTTTTTTTTTTTTCCGCAGAGGAAGAAACTGAGGCTAAAGAACAAAATCTTGCTGAAGGTCACTCAGCTTGGGCTGTGGAGCTTGTTTTCCTGCCCCAAGCCGAGCGTCCTTCCCACCATCCAACACTGTTTCCTTTCTTGGTACCTCCATTATTAGAACACCTGGATATTCTTAGCTAACAATGGATGACATAAATAAACACACGGTCATTTCCCCACATTTCCGCACAGGTCCTCTGCAGATGGCAGAGCCCTTTCTCTAAATGCACGGCATGAAAAGGCGTTTTAAAGGTTGGAAAGAGAACTTCAGCATTAATCATCATGGGACAGCGGAAACTGGCTTTGCAAGGGATGGATTGGACTTCAGGGAAGATAGACAGCCCGAGCTCGCTGTCAGGAGATCAGTCAGCGCTGTCATTCCAGGGCCTGGGTGGAGGGCTTCTGCTGTGCCAGGGAACAGGTGTCTGGACTCGGCCTCCCCAGGCGAGCGCCATCTGCTGCCAGTCCTTGTAGAGACTGGACTGAAGCTCTGAGTGCATGATTTGTAGGCCAGGATCCTGCCCTGCCCCTGAGGCTGAGGCCAGTGTTGGGGTGGTTGCCTTTAAGGCTGCTCTGGAATTGTCCACGTACTTACTGAGCCAAGGAGGAAGAACCAAAATAGATGCTGGGAGAAAGCAGAGGTCAGAGGCTCAGAGAGGCAGGTCCTGTGTCAGGATGGAAGGGGATGTAGCGGGGGATGGTGTCAATAGCCAATGGGGATGAGGACTAAGGGAAGAGCCCATCTCACAGGACTGCTATGCCTAGCAGAGGGCAGATGATCAATGACTATTTGTTTAAATAATTAATAGTTCAGCAACCAAGGACAGTCTTGTGGGGGTAGGGGCAGCTCCTAAAAAGGGCTATGGTAGGAAGGGTGGGCCAGGAAGGTCTGTGTGGCTGAGCCCCTCTAGGACCCTCAAACTCCAGTGTCAAGTCTTCTGTCCTTTTGAGCCCAAGTGACACCACTGATTTTTTTTTACTCTATCTTGAGGGGGAAGCAGGCCCCCTACGAAGGACATAAATCCCTACAGATGAAGACACCTCATTGAGCCTTTGTCTGTCAGCCAAAAAGGAAAAAGTAAGCATTTGTCTAATTTTCTCAAATTTTAACCAGCCAACAGGTTAGAGATCATGTTTGTTTGTTTGTTTGTTTGTTTTTGGCTTTTAAAATAACCTTTATTTTTTTAAAGTTAGTATGTGTATTACAGGAAACTGAAAAACACAAGCAGCAAAGAACAAAGTCATTCACAATCACAAGCAGTTTATAGTTTGACATATTCTTCTAGGTCCTGTGCGTGTGTAGGCACAACATCCAGTTTTATGGGACTGAGATCGTACAGTATGTATCATGATTTTTCACACGTCATGAATATTTACCAATTCAAAAACCCAAAGCTATATGAGTATTCTGATAACCAAGAATACACTACACCAACTCAAACTGTTAAAAAAAAAAAAGTAATCCTGCCTTTCTTGGGACAAAAATTTCATGAGATCATGTTTTAAATGGAGAAAGAGAAAGGAGAAAGCAAGAAACTTGAATTCACTGTTACTCAGAAAACTTTAACCAAAAAGCTCCTACAAATTAAGGCTGACCCTAATTGACTTTAGATGTTAACCTTTAGAAAAACTCTGTATACATAGAAAGAGTGTGTACATTTGTGGCTTTGAACAAACATTTATGATTTATGGAAGGCGATGACTGCTTTGGCAAAATGGCATGGTTCAGTTTGAAGTTCAGCAGCTCTATTCATCCATTGTGTGACCTTGGTCACTTGGTCCCACGGACCCTTCCACCCTTGCTGGGTGAGTGCACAGAGGCGGACCAAAGTGCCAGTTCCAGCCCCCATTTCTTGGCTGCTTGGCTCTCGAGGCGCCTGACTTTCTGACTCGTCGGGGTCATCTAGGTTCTGATGGCTGGGTTAGCCCTCAAGGATGCTTCTTGGCTGACTGGGTTCAGCTTTCTTCAGTTCTCAACTTTCCTTGGTTTCTTAATTTCAATGTTATGTCATCCCTTGGGATCCTGTTGGCCAGGCCCATCCCTGGAGGAGGGTTGACCTCAGCTTTCTTATTTTTCTCCCTTTCTTCCTTCCCTCCTTCCATGTAAGATGAGATGGTTGGACTGGACCAACTCTAGAATCCCTTCCCGTTCCGACTGCTCCATGGTCTGATGAAGGTGGCCACTGGGACATTTGGGCAGGGGCCCCTCTCCACAACCATGGAGGTAGGCATGTGGTAACTCCCCCTGCTACGTCCATACAGCTGTTCTCCTATGAGAAGAGTTAAGATGCTTTCTGCACAAAGTGAGAAAGCAAAAGAGCCAGACAGGACCCATGGGGGCAAAAAGGACAGAAAGCAGATAGCAAAACCAACCTGCCCTCCGAGGGCATGCACACGCAGGGCTGCTCGCAAAGTGGGTTTTCGTCCTGTTCTCAGGCTTACAAGCAACTCATTGTTCTGAGAAGAGAGCAGCTGCTTCTAGGGAGTATTCAGTATTGGGCGTGACTACTTAGGGAAGCGAGTTTTCAGCAGAAGGCCTGAGCCCTCCTCTGACAGGAAAGGAGGAAGCCATTCTGGGCAGGGGATTCGTTTTCTATTGCTGCTGTAACAAATCACTGCCAATGTAGCGGTTTCAAACAACATAGTTTATCCTTATACAGGTCTGCAGGTCAGACATGAGCCCCACTTGGACACAAGAATGCATTCCTTTCTGGAGATTCTAGGGGTGAATGCATTTTCTTGTCAGTTGGCAGAATTCAGTTTCACAAGGTTGTGGGACTGAAGTCCCCATTTCCTTGTTGGCATCACTGGGGGGATCCCTTACCTCTCCCCTGGAGGCCTCTCTCTTGTCCTTGTCTATGAACCCCGATATCACAGAACCAGCAGCAGGGCTCCTTCTCACACTGCCACCTCTCTACCTTTCCTTTTTTCACCTCTCTCTCTATGAATGGGGAAGTTTCTCTACTTTTTTTGTTTGTTTGTTTTGGGACGGAGTCTTGCTCTATCGCCCAGGCTGCAGTGCAGTGGCGTGATCTGGGCTCACTGCAACCTCCGCCTCCCGGGTTCAAGCAGTTCTCCTGCCTCAGCTTCCCTGGTAGCTGGGATTACAGGTGCCCACCACCACACCTGGCTAATTTTTGTATTTTAGTAGCGATGGGGTTTCACCGTGTTGGCCAGGCTGTTCTACATGACCAGCAAGCAAGCCACCCGCCTCAGCCTCCCGAAGTGCTGGGATTACAGGCGTGAGCCACGTGCCTGGCTAGTTCTCTACTTTTAAGGACTCGTGTGATTAGACTGGACTCACCTGAACAACCTCGAGTAGTCCCCCCATCTCAAAGTCTTTAACTGAGTCACATCTACCAAGGCCCTTTTGTTTGCCATGTAAGGTCACCTATTCACTAGTTCTGGGCGTTAGAAAGTGGACATCTTGAGGAGGTCGCTAGCTTGCCGCCCACAGGCAGGTTAGGCCATGTGATTTGCTGACCACCTGCAGATGTTACACTGAGGCAGTAAACCTTTTCCAGGTGACTCATACCACCTGTGCACATTGGGAGACAGTCATGTGAACTGCAGCAAACCAGTGCCAGCTGTGCATTGTGCAAAGCAGGACTTGAATGTGTCCATCAAACGCACTCTGTGGTCGAGCCATCAGATGCCCTAATTAATGTTCACATGGCTTTGTGAAATCCAACTGTAGGCTAGCTTGTAAAGTGTTTTTACAAGAGCTGACACCGATGGAACCTACTCAGCTTGCTTTTCCTGTTCCAGCTTTTTCAGGCACAGTCAGGACCCCCTGGAACTTCACCAGCTCCCCCATTCCCCTCCCATGAGTGTGGGTGGCCCCTCTTAGCACTCTGACCACATACTGGAACCTGCAGAGGCAGTATTAGCAGACCTGAGGTCTTCCTCTGCATTCCATTTGCTGTTCCCTGGCCTGCAATGCCCCTTCTTTGCCCCCTCCCCCGAGGGCCTAGCAGTCCCTCCTACGCAGCCCTCTAGCCCCTCTGTGCTCAAAGTGCATCTGAGGACATCACCTGAGAGCTGTAGGAAATGCAGGATCTCAGGCCCCACCCCAAACCTACTGAAGCCAGATCTGCTGTTTAACACGATCCCTGGAGATTCCTAAGCATGTTGTCTGTGCAGCACGGAGTGAGGCGCGGCTGCTCTTCGCTGCACCCCTTCCTGACTACCCCTAGGCCCAGCCAAATAAACTCTTCTTCCTGCTCCCTTGTGCCCCATTTGGACTTCGTTCATAACAAGGGAGTATAACTGGATGGTAAAAGGGACTTTTCCTGTTACCTAGACATTTCAGCCTCAAAGGCAGAACAAATTAGTAGGTGCAAGGAGCCACACATCCATACAACGTTGAGACCCTGCCCAGGACAAGCTCGGTGAGTGGACAACTTCCCTTGTCAGCCCTTCGCCCACTTCCAGCCTCAGATCGAGGCATCAGGGAGGGTTTCCTTGAACAGGGTGGGCGGAGGGCACTGTGTTCCCACCACCCCTGTTGCCCGTCCATGGGGTGAGGCAGCAAGCGCTTCCCTTCACCTCAAGGAAGTGACAAGGGCTGCACGGGGAGCTCTCCCCACACCTGTCAGTGTTTGGGGAAACGTGAGGACTGGTCTGAGGAGTCAGGGCTGCAGTGGCCAATGGTGCCCTGCGCCAGAGGGCAGTGGGGTGAAGGTGTGTGGCTCCCGGGAACCAGATGGGGGTGGTGGAGAGATTTCTTGGAGCCTTTTTAAAGAGGACTCCATCCAAGTGGGCCGCCTGGAAGGGCAAAGGGACCCAACAGAGATGTGGGCCACTGGGAAACCACAGCTCCAAGGGCTGCTGCAACCCTGCCCCACAACTACATCCCAGCCTCATAATGGAAAATGTAGTTGAGGTGGGGTTGCCAGATTTTACAAATCCAAATACAAGACACTCATTTAAATTTCAATGTCAGGTAAACAACATGTATGTTTTTAGTATATGTTACATGAAATATTTGCAACATACACTAGAACATTTTAAATTTTCATCTAGCTCAACTTCAAATTTAATTGGGCATTCTGTATTTTTATCTGGCAACCCTAAGTTGGGAGCTTTATAGCAGAAATTCAAGTGGCTTCTCCAAGAAACCCACGAAAGCCCCCAAAGAGAAGTCATCCCTAGAAACCCCAATGTCAGCTCACAACTGAAGCAGTCAGGTAAGATCCTTTCTGCTCTGTCATCCTGGTCCCCCACCTCAATGCCTCATCAGGATAGGGAGTGGGAGGTGGAAGAAGGGAGGGGACAGAGGAGGAGGAGATGACCACCTCCATCACTTCAGGCGTCCGAGCCAGAGACGAGACACCTTAACTTTAAATGAAATTGAACATTTTGATTATTACCTGGATCAGACACAGACATACAACTACTGTTCTTGTGACTTAAAGAGACCTACAATGTCGGCCTAAGATGGCATGTCTTAGGTGGCGAAGGAAGCAGGTCCTGGAGCCAGGTGGAAAAGGCACTGGGTGAAAGGAGAGTTTCTTCAAGAGTGTGCTCAGCTAAGTAGCAGTGGTTCCCAAACTGATGGCTTATTTGCAGAGCTGTCTTTCTCACTAGCATCTTAGCATTCGTTTGTGTCCCCAGCTCATGGCATGTGTAGTAGATGCTCAGTAAATGTCTGGGTTTTTTTTGTTTGTTTGTTTGTTTGTTTTTTTGAGACAGGGTCTCAGTTGCCCAGGCTGGAGTGCAGTGGTGTGATCATAGCCCACTGCAGCCTCAAACTCTTGGAGTCATGTGATCCCTCCTGCCTCAGCCTCCCGAGTAGCTGGGACTACAGGTGCATACCACCATGCCTGGCTAATTTTTATTTTTTTCTTTGTACAGACAAAAAGGAAGAAAACTGGGTCTTGTTACGTTGCCCAGGCTGGTCTCCAACTCCTGGCCTCAAGTGATCCTCCCAGCTTGTTCTTCCAAAGTGTTGGGATTATAGGTGTGAGCCACTGTGCCTGGCCATGTCTGAATGTTGAATGTTGACAGCTTCAGTGAATTGACCCCTCTTGCATCTATGGGACTTATGAAGAGAGAATCTTTCTGGCATTGCATAATCCTTCCCCAGGGTACTTTAGCTGTGGTCACCCTTCTTGTTATAAAACATGCCAGGTATGATGAAGGAGATCAGCTGAGCTGGACTTAGACTCTTCTCTAAGCACATCTGCAGGCACTCAGCGTTCACAGCAGGGCAGATGTAGGTTTCTAGGTACCTAAGGCTTATAGGAACTGGGGTTCATTCTGAGAAAAAGAACATCAAATTATGAAGACAAAATTAGGCATCAATGTGAATATTAATTTAGGAGAAATCACAACAAATCGCACATCCTAACAAGCTAACAAATACTGCATACATCACAACATCTAGAAGCATAACGATATTTGTATTGGTTAACCTGGACATATCACTTTAGTATGCTTTTTTCCTACATTTTTGGGCTATATTTCTTTCATATTCTTTTTGGTTGATGTCCTTGTAGGTAGTGGCTACATGTTAGTAGCCACTAACCCTAGGAGTAGGTAGGGTTCATGTTGTTGTTGTCGATGTCTGTGTTTTGTGATCAAATCACCAAGACTGCAAATCCTTTTTTCAACATATTCATATGATTCACTCCCCTTCATTAAATTGGGTTATTCAAACAATTATGCTCCAAATGTATCTCTTCCTCTGAATGAAGTACTGCCTTGGCATGATCTGATTTTTATAATTATTCTCTCTTCTCATCTTCATTATTTATATTTTCTTAGCTATTATGATTCTTCTTCTCAATTTCAGGCTTTTGTCTATCAGACTTTTTCGCTTCTGCTGTGATAGAACAAAAGAGTTTTTGACATTTTGTAACTTCTTCCAGTCTTCTGTCTTTCAGTTTTTGTCTGAGACCTTCTACTAGCATGTTTTCTTCTCAACACACTTGATTTTTGTCGAGTTAATAATTTTGAAATAAAGGCATTCTCAAGAGCAGTTCAAATGCATTTGAAAACTGCTGAAATGTATTGAGTTACATATTGCATAATCAAATTACTTTTTCGCCACATAGACTGATCTATTGGTGAGTATGCGTAGGGGTTTCATTACCCTGGAGTCTTTTTTCTTTGCTTTCTTTGCCCCTTTCTTTCCATTTCTGTGGCAATTTGGTGCACAGTTTCATCAGGAAGTGTGAGACTTCAGAAGGGCAGGAGGATCAGATACTGTAAGGGTGATCCGTTCAGTTGGCACAAGAAATCTGGGGAAGACATTATATGAACAGTGGAGTCTTCTTTCTTTGCAGAGAAAAGTGGACAAGCATCCAATTTCCAAATCAATTCTTGGGATAAACTGGTATAACTTGTTGGAAGGCAGTTTGTCAATATGTATTGCAAGCCCTAAAAATATTTATGTCCCCCTCAAATACATGCACATTCCTATAGTTTGACTGAGTAATTTAATTTAGGTATATTGATTTTAAGAAAATGTTCCTGAAAATGAAAAAAGTATTAGACACCAAGGTGGTGTTAACAAAATATTCCTTAAAACAGTTTTTTTTTTTTTTTTTTTTTTTTTTTTTGAGACAGAGTCTTGCTCTGTTGCCCAGGCTAGAGTGTAGTGGCGTGATCTCAGCTCACTGCAACCTCCACCTTCAAGGTTCAAGCGATTCTTCTGGCTCAGCCTCCCGAGTAGCTGGGATTACAGGCGCCACCATGCCCAGCTAATTTTTTTGTATTTTTAGTAGAGACAGGGTTTCACCATGTTGGCCATGCTGGTTTCGAACTCCTGACCTCAAGTGATCCTCTCACCTTGGCCTCCCAAAGTGCTAGAATTATGGGTGAGACACCGCACCCTGCCTCTTAAAACACTTTTGGAGCCAGGTGCGGTGGCTCATGCCTGTAATCCCAGCACTTTGGGAGGCTGAGGCGGGCAGATCACGAGGTCAGGACATCGAGACCATCCTGGCTAACATGGTGAAACCCCATCTCTACTGAAAATACAAAAAATTAGCCGGGCGTGGTGGTGGACACCTGTAGTCCCAGCTACTCGGGAGACTGAGGCAGGAGAATGGCGTGAACCTGGGAGGTGGAGCTTGCAGTGAGCCGAGATGGCGCCACTGCACTCCAGTCTGGGTGACGGAGTGAGACTCTGTCTCAAAAAGAAAAACAAAACAAAACACATTTTTGGAATAAGTTGCTCCAACAATAAATGATTGGTTATTTAAATTGGGAAACATCAACTTGATGGATATTATTACTATTGAAGTTTATAGAAGGTTTGTTATATGGCACAAAATGACTCTTACATAACATTAAGCAAAACAAAAGCAAAATACAGTATTGTATATATGTTTTGATCTCAGCCAAACTAATACTAAATCCCATGCTCAGAAAAAATCCTGGAATATACATGATTTTAAAATGTACACTGTCTATATAAGTATACTATATATTTCATAAACACCCTCCCATGTCAACAAATATAGATTGTGACATAATTTTTAATAGTTGCATAGTATTTCACTGGATGCATGAACAAAAATGTTTCTGATCTTTTAAGACATTCAGACAGCTTCAGATATTTTTCTGTTTTAAGTACACTGCAAGGAACAATCTTGCGCATTAATCTTTAGCCAGTTTTCCAATTATTTCCTCAGGATAAATTCCTAGAAGTGGAATTGCTGGGTCAAAAGCATTTTTAGGGCTTTCGAAACCGATCGCCAAATGACCTTCCAGAGCGACTATAAATTTATGCTGCCACCAGCAGCACATGAGTGTACGGCCTTTCTCTGGTGCCTTTGCCAACAATGACTCTTCAATTTGTTTTAAAATGAAGAAAATAACTGAAGAAAATATGCCTGCAGTAGATTTGAAACTTATTAAATGTATTCAAGTTTTTATTATACAATCCTGGCTTGCTATAAAAATGTTGCTAGGAGTTAACATCTATTCCACAGTTACCATGTCCCAGGCAATGTGTGACATGAGTTAATTCTCTTAGTGCTGCAGATAACTCTATGAGGTAGGGGCCATTACCCATCAATTTCATATGTGAGGAAATGAGACACAGGGGTGCTAAAGGTAACACAGTCCAAGGTAATGAGGGGCTGAACTAAGATTTCAACCCAGGCCACAGCCTACACCATACTGTACAGCGTCTCAGTCCCTGCTGAGATGTCCCTAAGCATGCAGTGAACCTTTTAGTTCAGGATTCACCGTGGCACCAGAAATCCCTCTAGTCCATATTCGAGGATGAGTCTCAGTTTAGGCAGAGGCCCCAGAGACCACCATTTAGAAGATTCTGAGAATCTACTACTAGCATGAGGTAGGCTGCCTGTGCAGGACCTGCCAGGACGGAGTTAAACCTAGCCTGCCAGCTCTAGCCCACCGGTCACTTGGGCTGAAGAGTCATGAGAAAAGGGTTATTTGGGACAGAGCTGAGTGTCATGATGTGCCCGCCGCTCTTGTGTTGGGTGATTGTTTCCTCCTGGTCTGCCTGGGACTGTCCTGGCCTTAGCAGTGGAAGTCTTGCCTCCTGGGAAACCCCTTAGTCCTGGGCAAACTGGGTCAGCTGAGCACCATATTTCTGGGGGAAGGTTCTGGCACTTCCTTCCCACCTCAAGACAGGTGTGGGGGGCTTTGAGGGGCTCTGGAGCCATGGGCCTGGGGACAGAGCTAACACCCATGCATCAGACACCCAGAGGACTCATGCCAGATCACACTGCTGTGCTCAACTCCGTCCCTTCTCCCTCTGGGCCTGGCCTCAGATGGTCTGAAACCCAGCTAGTGAGGATGGGGGCTGGGAGTAGAGCCAGGAGAGAGAAGAGACTAGCAACACAGACCCCTGCTCCTCCTCAGGCCGCTTTTAAGCCTGGAGCAAGCCTCAGATTGTGGGAGGAGACTGAACTTAACAGAATTTAAAGTTTGATGTTACACTGGCTTGGACATTTTGAGTCACTGAAATGAGACTTGAAAGGGCGAGGAGCACGATGGGAGCTGCCAGGGACGTCCCCAGGGGATGGGGAGGAATGATGGCAGAGGGCAGGGGAAGGCTGAAGCTGCTTATGAGCCAGCACTGCCAAAGGCGACCCTCTCAACACTGGGCTGCTTGGAGTGGCCACTGTGGGCCGCACCGGGGTCTTGCCGCCTCCTCCCAGCAGGGGTGGAACCACAGCTGCTGCCACTTCTACTGCCTAAGGGGCAGCGGTTTGGGGTAAGAACCCAGGGTCCCCTCACTGCCCCCTGCCCATCAGGCTATGGCAAGAGCCTTTCCTCACCCCAGACGCTGCCTCCTCAAATGGAGCATCCCAGCTCTCCAAACCGCCAGAGCCCGCCCTTCTCCTCCCAAGCAACCACGATAATAAATGATGGCTTGTTGATACATGCGAGACACCGAAATAGGTTCTTAATATACATTGTCTTCTTTTGTCCTTATAAGTTACCAGTGAGGTATTGTTACCATCCTCATTTTTCAGAGGATCAGAGAGGTTAAGGAACTTACCCAGTCATTAAGTAGTGGAGTGGACTGGAAACCTGTTTTGCCTCCATCCAAAGCACATGTCCAGTTCACAATTCTGCACGGCTTCCTAGCTCTTACCTAGCCTAACCTCCCAGCTCCCCACCAGGCACCTGGGAGGGGCATCTTTGCACTGGGACCTTGGTGGGGTAGCTGCGTTTCCACTATTCCTACTTGAAACCTGGAATGTGTTTTTTCATGGAAACACTATGATGAATGGTTCCTTCCACTCCACAGTGGTTACTTATTGGTTCAGTCGCCGTGTGTGACCTGGCTTGGGGTTCTGACCACACTCGATCATGTGATTTCCCAGGAAGAAAACACGTCCTGGGTTCTAAATAGCAAATTCCAAACACACTGTTAGGACACAGCTTATTTGTGAGTTAGGGAATGTCTGCCTGTAAATGATTTTAATTTATGTGACAAGAAAAATAAACTGGGCTCTTTCATTATGCTATTTGGGTTGTTGGTTTACACAGAAGGGAGGCCACCCTGCAGTTTGTCCTTCTACAAGGGCGTCAGCTGTTTGAATTATTCAATCTCTTCAAAGAGTCTGTGGCTAAGTCTATGGTACTGGAGAAGCATGTGGTTTAGTGAGTGAATTAAAAGTCAGGGGATGTGGGTCTAGCCCTCTCCTTGCCCTTAACCAGCTGTGTGACTTTGGGTGAGTCACTGTACCTCTCAGTGGCATCTGCTTCTCAATCTGTACAATAAGGAGGTGACTCTCGAGAATCCCCAAGTTCCCTTCCAGTCCTCAGAGCCCATGAAGAACAAGGAGCCTCAGGTGCAGAACTGCCAATGACAGGTCTGCTCAGAAATCATATTTCCTTCTTTTGCTTCCCTTTGTAATTTTTCAAGAAAAATTCTTTAGTAACGGTGTTCTGGAGCTCTGGCAGATGAAAAAAAGAGAAAGTCAGGTTCTTTGGGGTTAAATGGAGCATTTAATAAGGGCTAAGCAAAAAGATGTGTGCTGGCCCTTTTCCTTACGTTGGATGTTTGGTTAATCGATCAGCAGATCCTGGCACCCAAGTGACAACCTGCATTGAAAAGGCGGAACTTGGCTCTCCTGCCCTTCCAGCTGTAAGAGCTTGAAACCGAAGCTATGGGGGGAATGTCTTTCATTTCCCCCTGGAAGCTGGGAGGACGTTCAGCTTAGCATTGCCAACTGTGTAATGTGGGCTTGCCTCTAAAAGAAGCCTTTTTCCTTGGACGTCTTTCAGGCCACAGTATTCCCTTTGGCACCTCCACCCACTTGGAACAAAGCCTGATGTAAAGTCTGGGTGCAACTCAGACCGGCCTGGGAAAGAATTTATTTAATAAATGGTGGAAAGTGGCTTCCTTAATGTGTCTTCAGTGGCTTTTTTATAAAGCATTTGGTTTGTCTACTTGTGTGTTTTTGCTCCATCTCTTTCCACAAAGATGGCTTATAGCAGGGATACCTACAACAAAATGATGCTGGGAAAATAAAAACAAAGAAGTAGAGAATTAGGCCTGAGAGAACTAGGAGTAGAGGGTCAAGATTAGATACAGAGGAGCATAGATGTGTAGTCTAGGAAGGCCAAGTAGTTGTCACAGCTGAAATTCAAATTCAATTAGCTAAAATGTTCCTAGTGTCAAAGGAAGAATGGGCTACACAGTTGCATAATCCTTAGTATGAGGGAGAAGGAAAAGGTTCCAGTTATTCAGAGGAATGTTCTCTTGCATTATTCCTTTAATAAGTATCTATTAAAGGCCCACCATGTGCCAAGCACCACGCCAGGCTAGCGCTGCACTCACCCCCCAGGAACTCAGTGTCTAAAGGAGACTGGGTGAAAGAACTATATTTGTGTGCCTCCCATGTGCCAAATACTATGCATTTAGTTATGCAGTTACTGTATGTTTGACACTATGCATTTAATTATGCACCTGCTGTATATCAGACACCATGCATTTTCATTTAACCCTCATAAGTACTTAGGTCAAGTAGACACTGTTACCTCTGTTTTACAGATGAGAGGTAAAACCCCCTGCGGTGGGTAAGTATCGAAGTTAGGATTCACATCAAGGCCATTCTCTCTTCTTCATGGTGCTATTGGTGGTCTAACTTCCACTATTTATTTTCCCTTCCCTTTCTTTTCTTCTTTTCCTCTTCCTCTTTTTTTTTTTGAAACAGGATCTTGCTCTGTTGCCCAGGCTGGAGTGCAGTGGCATGATCATAGCTCACTACAGCCTTTACCTCCTGTTTTCAAGTGATACATCCACCTATCCCCTCCTAAGTAACTGGGACTACTGGTGTGTGCCACTGTACTGGCTAATTTTTTAAAATTTTTTGTAGAAATGGGGTCTTGCTATGTGTTGCCCAGGCTAGTCTCAACTCCCGGCCTGAAATGATCCTCCCAATATGGCCTCTCGAAGTGTTGGGATTACAGGCTTGAGCCACCACAGCTGGCCCCCTGTTCCCTTTCTAACAGAACTTCAGCTTTGTTTAATTATTTACCACTCCTCAAAATAGCTACCATGGGCCAAGGGTCAATGACCCCATTTCTAATTCTTGTGGGCAGGATGGGAAGATTGATTAGCCAATCACAATAATCCCCTGTGCCTGGTTTAAGAATCTGGGCTTAAGCCAATCATTATGTGACATTCTCCTGGTGATTGTCTTAGGTCTAGGATGACAGAAGCAGGCACAGTAAGACTGAAGGAATGGCCATCAATTCCATATTTTGGGGAAAGGCTCTTCTATCTGTCTTGCTGGAAATAAACTAGTAGGTATGTTGCTGCTGGCAGCCCTTCTGTGACTCTGGAGGAAGCTGACTCTTCTGATACCAACTGTTCTGACACCAACTGGTGTACTGTAATATGATTCCCCAGATGCAAATACAAATACCCAGAGTTAGTGGAGACTCCACACTATAGGGCACAGTCCCCTACAAGACTGTTTCACTTCAAATGCCAGCCACAAGGTGGGGTCTCAGACCACCAGCATTTCTGACCAGCTGGCTACAAATCTGAGTGTTCCCACAATCCCTCTCAGGTTCAATAATTTGCTAGAATGACTCACCGAACTCAGGAAAGCCTACATTATGATTATAGTTTTATAATAAAGAATATCAATCAAGAGCATAGGGTAAGGCCTAAGAGCTTCTAGAATGCAGAGCTTCTGGGCCCTGACCCCATGGAATTGGCCCATATCACTCTCCCAGTGCATCAGTGTGTTCATTAACCAGGAGCTCCACTGAGCTTCAACATCCAGAGTTTTTATTAGAGTGCCATTCCATTGGCATGACTGAACATTGGCCACGTGGTTGAACTCAATCTCCAGCTCTTCCTCCCTCCTTGGAGGTAGGGCTGGTTCAAAACCCCAACCCTCTAATTATGTGGTTGATCTTTCTAGTGACCAGTCTTAATCCTGAACCATCTCAGCATAAACTCAGGTGTAATCCATGGAGCTCATGAATAACAAAGACACTCCTATCCCTTGGGAAATTCCACAGAGTTTAAGAAGCTCTGTGCCAGGAACCTGAGACAGGACCAGACAAATTCTTCATTATACAAACCTGACCTTCAGACAAACCTGAAGGTTATGGAGAAAATACCGACAGAACAGAAGAGAGACAAAGCCAGAGCCCACACTACTCTGCATTCTCTGAAATATGAGCTAGTACTTTCCTCATCATTTAAGCCAGTTTGAATTGGGTTTCTGTCACTTATAGCTAATTGATCTTACACTGACTATTATACTTTGAAGTGCAAGAAACAGAAACCCCAACAAAAAATAACTTAAACAATAAGAACTTCTGTTATTCCACAAAATGAAAATCTGGAGGTAAAACAGTTCTAGAGTTTTTATTTTTTAACTCAGGGCTGGGACAAGGCTGGCACAAAATTTCAGGAGTCCAAAAAAATTCAATCAGCAAGATAAATAGCATTTATGACAATATTTTAAAAATGAAAATTAATGCAAAAAATTGGGAATAAAATATCAAAATTTTAAGTAAAGATAATCAGCATTACTGATTTTTCTTTTTTTTTTTTTTTGCCCTGGGCTTCAACATCACTCAGCACGGCACTGTTACCAACCCTGTGTTTATTTAAAATTTTGGTATTTTTTCAAAATTTTGGATATTTGCATTATTTTTATTTTTAAAACTTAATTCTAGGCTGGGCACGGTGATTCACACCTATAATCCCAGCACTTTGGTGGGAGGATTGCTTGAGGTCAGGAGTATGACACTGGCCTGGGCATCATAGGGAGACCCCTGTCTCTACAAAAAAGATAAAAATTAGCCAGGTGTGGTAGTGCATGCCTGTAGTCCCAGCTACTCAGAAGGCCAAGGTGGGAAGATTTCTGGAGCCCTGGAGTTCGAATCTGCAGTGAGCTATGATTGCACCACTGTACACCAGCCTGGGAGACAGAGTGAGACACTGTCTCATATATATATATATAATCTTGATTACTGAGATTGAGATTTTGGGCACCCCTTAAACTTTGTGCCCTAGGTGAGTGCCTTCCTGACCTGGGCCCATTCCCACTCCAGTACACCTTCCCATCCTCAGATGTTGACTGGAGACCTCAGCTGGTTTCCCTTCGTGGTTGTAAGCGGACTGCCACTATTCTGGGAACAACAACATCAAGCAAAAACCAAAGAGTGTTTTGTTCTGCGCATCTTTTTCATCAACAAGGAAAACTTTCCCAAAAGCTCCAGCAGACTTTCCTCACTGGCCAGAATTGCACCACATGCCATGTCTAAACCAGTCACTGACAAGGCCGAGGGAGCACCCACGCCTGGCTGACAGCAATCACACTGAGCCTGGGGAGGACGTTGCTTTCCTTGAGCACCTGGCCTTGTGGAGGCTGGACACTTGATCAAGTTCAAGACTTTACCCCAAAGAACACATCCTATGTGAAGTTTAGAAAGAAGCCACACAACTCACTTCTCGGCCTTTTGGCTAAGATTAAGTGCAAAAACAAGCCACACTAGTCTATGGCATAGAACTCAAGAGTGTTGTCACCTTTGGGCAGGTGGATGAAGGTACTGATTGGAAGGCGGTATGAGGGCAGCTTGTGGGATACAAGTAATGTTCTCTATTTCTTAATCTGAGTCATGGGTACTTGGGTGTGTTGACCCAAGTACCCATGACTGTAGGCATGATTTGTGCACTTTTCTGTATGTATATTTGAGGCTCAAAGTGTGGTCCATGGCCCAGCAGCATTAACATCACCCAGGAGCTTGTTATAAATGCAGAATCGAGGTCCCAGCACCTACTGAATTAGAAGCTGCACTTTAACTACATTGCCAGGCAATACACTCACACGTTGAAGTTCGAGAAACACAGTATTATACTTCAATTTTTAAAAACTGCTTTCATAGGAAATATTGGGGCTTTCCCAGCAACGAAGGTGGGGAGATTGGGTTTGGGTAGAGCAGGAACAGTGCTGACTCAAAAGCCTGTTACAGGGTTTACAAAGTAGCTACTCACCAGTCCCTATTCAGTGGCAGCTGCTTCTGCCGCTCTTCCTCTCTTCAACTATTCTTCACTTTCTCTCCTTTCAACAATTTGTTTTTCATCAAACAGGGGCTCAGGCAGCACCTGGGGGCTCAAAACACACTGGATGTCACGTGGTAAGGACAGCCACATGAAGTAAGCATGAGATGGCGATCTCCTCTGAAATATGAGCCTCATTCCTTTGAAAGTAGCAAAGAATTATCCAGAGGCGTTGGGAAAATGGTAAGAAAATCTTACCTCGATTGAGAAAGAGTGAACGCCAAAGGCCTCCCTTCACCTGCTCCATTGCCTGTAACCAAGCACTCACCCACCTCAGCTGCAGACATTAGATTGAAAACAAACTCCCAGTCCCCATTTAAAGAGGTCAGCCGTGGGCAGTGAGGATGGGATGCTCATGGAGGTGAGGTGTGTGGTGCCCCACAGTGGGGGAAATGACTTAAAATATACATCAGCGTAATGGTGATTTCAGCCTAACACAGCTTGGTAAGGAACAGTGGTTCTGCAAGAATCCTTTGTATATGGTTTGCCAGAAGGAACATAAACTGAGATTCTAAACTCCAGAAACACAGGCATTTTAGGAACTGTCCGCTTTATTCCTTTTGCTCTTATTTAAGATAAAAATTCTGCCTCTGATTCCTGCCTGCAATTTCAGCTCACCCAGACCCCTATTTGTGCCCCCATCCCTTGGTGCTGAAGACCCCCTAGGGACAGCAGAACGAACTAGCTCAGAGAGGGGACCGGGAGATAGGAGCAGGGAAAGAGGTATCTTCTAATACGTATCAGGTACATTCTCCTTTTAAAGACTCAAGTTGGCCAGGTGTGGTGGCTCATGCCTATAATCCCAGCAC